CCAAGCTTCATGAACTGTAACGTGGTATTTTACCACGTTACTAGTTTTCGACCGTTTCGTGATTGTAGAGACTTCCACCAGACGGGAAATGACTTTCAGTGGCGAGAGTTATGATTAAAAAAAAAAACATATAGGTTTGATTTATTTTATTTTGATTTATTTTGAATTGATTCACGCGCCACCGCGTTTTCAATTCGAGGACATCGCCAAGGATCGTTGGGACTCCAAGAGATGTCATTGGACTCCGGATTTTCTGTCGATAATCGAATTTTTGATGTGGCCGACAATGGAGCCACAATCCAGCTGTTTGCTGACCACGAGGCGGATTGGCAATTAATGAAAAATAGGATAAGAATTATTAGAGGAGAGTTACTATTCTCTCGAGGTAGTTTGTAACGCGAAAAATTATTTTATTTTTATTAGGCAGCGCTGAGGATATAATATCGATTGTGATAATCAAGTAAAATGATATTAAGCATCACAAAAATTTGTAGCGCATGCGTGCAAAAAAAATATTATCTGTGTCGCGCATGGCCATTTGATTGGGATTGGTGGATGATGACGTTGTCATCCCCCCCAAACATATAATCGATCGCGTTACCTACCTGTTGCCAATTCACGTGCGTTTTAGAAAGTACTTCCCGTTTGGTGGTTCGGTGTAGCAGACCTGTGATTATCACATCAATAAAGGACGCTCACCATTTGAGAGACGCCATTTAGCAGCCTGGAAAGCTTTGAGGATTTTTTTGGGATATCCGGGTGAGCGTGGTGGCCGTCATTTTATTTTTTTTTGTTTGTTAATATTCGTTAGTGGGCAAAGATTTAATTTAATCTTTTTCGTGTTACGTACGCCCGAGTCCTGAAGGACTATTTGTGAAATTATTCCATTATGCGATCTCTGGCCACTTTCATCAGCTAATATTTTGTCTCTCTCTCTCATTCGGATTTTTTTTTTATTATATTCAGTTTATTTAAAACTTTATTAGTTGCGATTTTGCGTGAGTTTTGCGACTTCTGTGTGATGATTTTGTGTCGCAAAACCTGTTACTCTCGCCATTGAATTTAAATTCAATTTATTAGTTTCAAGGTCTCGTGACCTGCGAATTATTCTACCTCTAGTTTTTGTATTTATTTTGTGTATGTTTGATTGCTCGAGGTCACGTAGACTTATCGATTTTTCGCGTTACTGTTGAGAGTTATTGAATTAATGTGACAATTTCTTGTAAAGTATTTCTGATAAAACTTCTGACTTCTCCGACTGCTAACAATTGAGTTTTGTAACTCAATTGTTTTCCGTTAATTTTTCTTTAGTTTTGTTGATAATAGCAACTCGAGTCTCGTGACTCAGTTGTTTGATATTTTACTTAATTCTGACTTCTGTGACTATTTTATTATTTATTAATTTATTTATTTTGAAAATTTCTAGACTTCAGAAAAACCTGTATAAACTTAATCAGACGATTTGACTTGACCGATTAATTTAAATGTTCTGTAACACGTAGTCGATTTAAGGGTATTTCATTTTATTAATTTGTTTTATGTATCGAGATTGATTTTTTTATTAAATATTGTTCTCCCCGACAATTCTTATTTTATTCATTTTTTGCTGAGGATCCCAGTTTCATCCCTTTTCAGCTTCCGATTATTTAAATCTCTACGAAACGAGCTACAGGAGTTATTGAAGCTGAGAGTGGAGAAGGATTTTGTTCACGGTGGTCATTCCGTTTTTAATGACCTGGCGCCTGACTAAATTTTCTGATTTTATTTTTGGGGTGTTTTGGTGCCAGAGGGCGGGCTAATGGACGAAGGGTTCCGTGAACCTTTGAAAATTACGTCGCAGAACATATGTTGCAGCAATCGTACTTATAAATGAGTGTGGTAATAAGGTAATATCCTCACAGTCCATTGACTTTCAATTGTGTAATTTATTGTACCTATTGAAGGAACGTGAAGCAGATTTTTTTGTCATTTTCTTTAATATATATTTTTGGAGCTCCTCAACATTCTTGACTGTGCACATCATATTCTCTCCGAAATAACTATGATAAGGACAATTGTAAGATGGCAACATTTTGAATTTACTTATTGATGGACAATTTTCGAAATAGTCTTCGACATTGACTATCAGCGCTGCCAACGAAGGCTTGCAAATTTTCCGCAGCCACTCTTTCTTCTCAGCACCCTTTACATAGATTCTCGTAATGTTACTCCAGCATTCCCACTCTTGTTGAACCGTTTTTTCAATTTCATCATATGATCTATTTCCATAATTCCATAATAGACCATGATGGTAACGCTTCAGCCAACGATTGATGCTTCTATACTTTGATGATAAATTATAGAATGGTAGTGGTGGGCGAAAAACGATACTGTTGGACTGGGAATTTGTATAGCCGTATACGCTAGCTCTTTCACAACAAACTCATTCAGAGAGGTTTGAAAACCTTGCACATCCCCAATTAGCTCCATGGGGACTGATGTATTTTGCAAATATTCGGCTTTAAACCCACCACCTGTTAAACTAATTTTTTTACAGCGCCACTTATTGGATTATAGTGAACTACTCGATCATGCAAAATGAGACAGTAAGCGGCGGTGTCCGACGGGAAACTGTCTTTCAATTCACACTCTAAACGTACATCTACAGGACCGAATTTTAAAGATTCATTTTGTTTAGAGCAATCAATAACCACCAACAGTGTAAGAGTAGAAAATTGTTAGTTACTTAATAATGGATTAATCACTTGTTGGTCATAAGAGGTTGATTGAAAGTTCGTATACATGTTATAGAGCACTGAGTATTGATTCCTATCCACATCTATATCTAAATATCCATATGGATAACATTGAGAGTTAAAAAAAAATTTCTCATCTAACATTTTACATTGATCAAAATTACTGGCATTTCTTTTATTTATATTTTTTCGATCTGTTTGAAAGCCAAGAATAACATAACGTGGCTTTTCAAGTTGCGTTGCAGTCTTCACTGTCCTCACATGTTTCGTCGTTTCAGGAAGCAATGGATACTCATGTTTCACATTGACTATAATTTTTCGATAATCTTCAGCGAATCCCAATAGCGTAGACAGTGGAATGGATATGTCAAAATAACCATTCGTATCAGTTAAACTCGATTTCTCTTCGACACCTGACCACCCAGCATTCTCCATCCAAATGCTTTGATTGGGTGTTAAAGAAACGAGATTCTTCATAAGCGTTGTAATACCTACAATCTTGACTTTATCTATTTCAATAGCATTCATTTCATATTGAATCTCTTGGAATAAATGACAAATAGCATTATTCACAAACTTGGTGGTAGTTGCAATAGTATTGTCTGAATTGATTAGTTTACCGGTAATACGTAGGCAGCTTTTGCTTGGTAAACTACAGAGATCCTGATTTTGTACAGTACTTCGAATGTCATCGCTACTCTCTGTAGCCCCTGACGTATATGGTTGATGTGCATGGATCTCACAGTGGGTGATGGATTCTTCAAACATTGGGGCGATTTTAACATTCAGGCTTTCCTCCATGGTGTACAACAACAGATAAATATGACCTTTATCTGACAAAAACGTTCTTTCCACTTTTTTTTCACCACCATCAGACCGAGACTTTGCAGAAATTTTTTGTTCTGTGGCTTAAATACCTTGAATCCAGCACGCGTACTGACTGAAGGATGGCATGCTCGGTGACTTTTAATAAGAGTAGCCAATCTTGCGATTATAAACAATCCCCATGATTATGGAAAACACCTGATGTGTAGTCTTACGGGGTGGTAGATCATTTTTTCCCTGGGCATAATTTCCTGGACAAAATTTCCCGGACAAAATTTCCTTTTAAAAAATTTTCCCGGATAAAATTTCCCCGGACAAAATTACCCTGGATCAAATTTTCCGAGAAACCTTCCAAGAAAAGAATTTCATTGTAGACTCATTTTCTTACTTTCGTTCGAATTTCATTCCTAAGGAATGAATCTACTGCGAGAACTGTGTGTGTGGATTTGATTGTTGTTTGTGTTTTGTTATTATAGCGGATTGAATTGTCGATCGTAACAGAATTCGGTACGTATTATTTGTATTGTGGATTAATCGGCAGTCGGGATTGTGCTCCCAGGCAAAGCAGTTGACCCGTCAATTTTCTATTTTCTTATAATTCAAAATGTTGGAACTAATTATTCTCACTGTGGCTAGTGTTTTTTTTTCATGTATTACGTGCATGATGAAAATGATAAAAGAGTGATCTGGGGATGTGTGGAATATAGTTCCGGGTGCCGAGGGATATGCCACACGACTAATAATTCTCGAAGGGGTAGGTTTTAATTTTTCGCATTACGTTCTCGTTATGTTGAATGAAAGATAATGATTCTCCCGTGTTCGTTAGGTGTTATTATAAAGGAAACACCGCATCAGAAGCATGGCCCGGACTATGAGGCTATTGAAGTGAAGAAGTGCAAAGCCAAATTGAAGGAAAAAGCCAAGAAGAGTAAGGAGCCATCGGCATTAATTGTGGGTTCTGTTATTGCTTCGCTTCCATCTCCTGTCGCTGCTCGAATACTCTACAAAGATGCTCTTGCACGCTGCGTCCGTCGGAATCGTGCAGCGAGTCAACAACCCAGGTAGGAATTAACAACTGGACCAAGCCTGAACCAGGCTTGGCCCACGACAAGACAAGCCTGTTTCCAGACTGGCGTCCTAGCTTGGCCCTCTCGTGGAATATGCCGGGAGTGAAACGTTGGGCCAAGCTTGGGAAACTCAGCTTGGTCCAAGGCTGAGGCCCAACACATACCCACCAGTATAAACCAGGGCTGACCAAAGCCAGTCTGAGCTAAAGCCTAGCTTCAACCAGGCCTAGGAAGTAAATAGACTAGAAATCACAATTAACACATATTAATTTTATTTCCCATTAATAACATTGTTATAAAAATCTGCTATGAAGCACTTAAACATAATGTATAAAAAACTTCGTATGGAATACATTAAGTGGTAGATTCACATCTAAAGAGTTTTGTTGACTCTCGCAGCACGCCCTTCCTCCCGATCACAGGCTCCAGACAAAAATTCGCTTGTTACTGTGAGAATTCTCAAATCTTTATCACCTTTATTATATTTACTTTTGATGAAATCTGTAAAATAATCGAAACAAAACAATTAATCCAGTTAATTCGAAATAATAAAAATAGTATAAAATAGGAAATAATAGTATTTTAAGATGGAAAATAACTCACCTTTCATGCATTGGTATGTAAAAGTCGCACTGAAATTTTTTTTCCCCACTCCGTGTCTCTTTTTACCAGCACCACTATATTCCATCTGAATCGATTTTGTCAATAAAGACTTCAGAATGGTTTTGATGTCTGCTGTAGCGTCTTGAGAGTTGGCGGTTTCAGTGGCCATGAAGTTGACCTGAAAGAAATGAAATAAAAATTAGATTCAATGATAATATGCGTTTATAATGCAAATAATTACAAAAGCTGTCTTGCTCTTCGGCACTTTGTCTTGATTCTCCTGGTTCTCCACGTTTGCTGGATCTAAAGATTTTTCCCACTTCTCGAATTCTTCCGCAGTCTTCATTGGTAATGTTACCCCGAGAGAGCTGAGCAGTTGTACCGCTGTCCCTTTGTAAGTTTGTGGAGAAATCATCAGTGACTGCTTTAGGTCGTCTTTTGCCTTCCGCAAATCATACTGTTGGGACCTCTTCATGCTCTGCAATTCCTCCCTGTTTCTTATGGCGAATAATTCAAAGGAAGCGTCGAAATAATTAATTATCTCTGTAATAAACATGATATATATTAAAATCAATTTGAATTGTGAAGTATGTGTCTCCATGTTGTTTGTGACTTACTTTTAACTGTTTGATCATCCTCCTCTTCTCGCATTTTCTGGACTCGTTCCACTAGAGCCTTCTTCTTGTCTGAGGGAAAAGTAGATTCATTTTCTAGACAAAAATATAATTCTACATAAATTGATGGAATTGGGTGAATGAAATGATAAAGGATAAAATTAAAAGGAAACACTTTCAATTTGGAGAAAGCTAAGTAATTTGCAAAGTCGTAACAGGAAAAAGTGTCAGTGTTTCCCCTCCAGCAAAACTCCCACCTGAAAAACGCTCCCGAAAAAAATCTTTTGGATTTATATCCTCAAAGAAAAAACAGTTTAAATTGGACAATTTTTTATGCATGCATTTGCTTACGTAGCAATAATTTTTTATCTTTTCTTTTGGAGGTAGAAAATAACAGCGAGGTATAAATCAATTATTTTATAACATGGTTCACCGAATGATTTTAATAATGAGTTATTGCACAAGAAAATATAAAAAATCTTTTTGCAAATTACGAAATGTCGAACAAACAAGATTAATTGATATTTTCTATTCAAATCATTCGTTATCGAGATTTTTTCAAATTTAATGAGGTAAAAAATATTGAATTATGCTCCTTATTTCACGAATGAAGTACAATAAATATTCGATTCTACCATGCGATGAAAGTCCTGCACGTGATGCATCCTGTGGAGTTGTCACTACTCGAGGACGTTTAGATGGGGGCTCTTCTTCCTCAGGAATAGCTTCTAATCCACAAGCATTCAGGCTATATGATCTTTCCATTTGATTAATGGCATTTCTCTTTGATAATATATTCCGTTGTATTTTCTCGCTTTCTGAATCAGTGGACTCAAGGTCAGAGCGCTGTTCACAAAAGTGTTGAAGCTTCTTGAGGGCCTTCGAATATTTTTCTGTCAATAAATTAATCAAATAGTTAATAGAAATAAAAAAAAATGAACTTTATGGATGAAAAACTCACTTGCACTGCCCAAGATTTCAATATCAAATTGTTCCCACGAAGCGACTGGAGAAATCTCATCAATTACCCATTTTTCCACTTTTGCACTATCTTCCTGCGGGGGATAACGACAACTACCTCTTTTCTCACACACTTCAATGACCCAAGAGACCGGAACAATTTCGATGACTTTCATTCCACGATTTGTCTCACTCACGAAATCGACGACATGGAAGTAATATTTGTTACCCGGATTACTCATCCTAAACAAGAGCAGAGGCCAATGAAATACAGAGTCAAAGATACACAATCTAAGGTTTTTTTTAGGTTAAATAGTTAATTGAGGTTTCAAAATCACTAGTTTAACTTACTTGGTAAATATCGCTGGTGATTGTGTTGATAATCGTCCCAGAAGATTTTAAACAAAATACACTGTTTATAATAATTACGTTTAGGTGGATATAACAATTATCAAGAACACGTGTCTGCACTATGCCGCCCGGTAAAATTCTAAGATGGCGTCCGGGCCCTCTGAATGTGGTCACGTGACAGAGTATCAGTTATCGGCAGACCAATTCCTGGGTACAATCCTTTGATTTTTTTTTGCGTGGAGTTAAAAAAATTCCAATATTTTGGATTCATTTCAAGTAGAGATTAGGATACTGAGCCATCGCGTGTTCTCGAGTGAATGATGAACGCAATACCCCTCCTTCTCTTCTTCTCAATCGCTCCCCTCTTTTCCCCTTGCACAGAATCGTTTACTCGTTTTACGAGTAATATTTGGACTCGTTTTACGAGTCATATTTGGCACAATTCTTTTTATTTCAAATCCCTTTTTCAATATGTCATTTTTCAATCAGACCAATAACAAATATGCCACCTATATAGTGAATGTTACGAATATTTATTCAAAATAAAAATTTTATTTTATACACATGAATATTTCAACTTATGTATGGAGTAAAGATACTGCATATTCTCGCTGTTTAATTTGCAGTAACATACATTTATGATTGACACTTGAGAGGGGCAGAAATTCGAGGGAATCGGACCATTTGATGATTTCGAAAATTCCGACGTCACGTGACGGACATGGAGTTACAAAACTATCTTTATGAGTTTCCACTCAGAAGCCTTCGATAAAAATTTTAGAACTTTCGAGATTATTTACATATTTTGCATTAACCATTATTTTTTTTAGTATAAATAAATCGTCACTACGTAGCTGTACTACATTATTCTCAGTTTCTGGCCTCAAAATCATGTCACGATATGTAATTGTCCTAAAGGACAGAAAATTCTCCCCATTTTTTTCGTAAACATCTCTTACTTTACTCTCTATTGCATCGCGAATTGTTGAACGTTTTTGTATTTTCATATCAGGGGATAGCTCTAGGCCTTTCAAGCGATTAATAATTTGAGGAATTGGTTTAGCTTTACTACTGACAAAATTTTTTAATTTCCCAATATAATCCTCCCCCCAAAAAGCGGAATAATCAATTAAAGATCTTTTGAAAAATTCTGCATCGTGGCACAAGTGGATTAGATCATGGATGACCATTGTTTGACAATCACTACCGTAAAATGTGGGCATAATCCTCACAAATTTTCGTAAAACCTTCTTTGCAATATGATGATACTTAACGACCCTGTCATTGTTGCACAAAATACGAGAAGCCACACACACTAACAAAAAATGTCGATATCGTCCTTCGTCAAGTACAGATTGAAGCACAATGGGGCCGCTATAAAGTAATAAAAACGAATACTGCGTGGCTTTCCAATGAGAGAAGTCTGACACATCGAAGGTATTTCGTTGAAATTCCGAAGGCACAGATCTAGGGTTGATAGATGTCATCAACTCCGTGAAAATTTTCACCTGCTCTATTGAGAGTTTGTGCTCATTTTTTTCTCGTACAATCCATTTCTCACCCAAACTCTTCATAACATTCAAATATAAAAGATGCATAACATCTAGAGGAACTTGTTTGATGGGGTCGAACCCTGGTATTTTTAACAATGGCGAGATACACGTTTCATTGGTTTTTTTATTTTTCAAATGATGTTCAATTTGGTTGAGATTCTCAAATGTTTCTTTTGTTCGTAATGAGCAGTTATCATCTGGAAAAACTCTTTTTTTGTTAACTGTTACACCCTTCACTGTACACCTTTCACAACTGAAAAATCCAGTTGGGGACTTAATACATTTCAGATAGGCTCTGGCCAGACTATCACCAATTAAAGCCATTATTTCGAACTTGTAGAACCGCCCTAAAATTGAAATACCATCAGTTATTAATTTTGTTGCTTCATTCACAAAATCGTTTAAAAAATCGTCGACGTTATTCGGTTTCGAATCACCATAGTACAGGGCCACCACAAATGGAACTGCAACATACTTGGGGTGAGAGATTTTCAAGACAATCGGCCACAATTTTCCCTTGGAATTTTGGTACACTTTCATGCCATCAATGAAAATAAGCGCACGAATAGTATCTTGGTTGTATTCACCTGATACTATTCGATCATTCAGACCATTAGCAATGCCTAAATAAACGTAGGTTCCAATTTTATTTTTGCTCGTCAACAATTTCTTTGTCTTGATTCGGTGCTGAAATCCCAAGAGCTTATGCACTGTCGGTGGTACTGGATGACCCTCGTCTTTCAAAATTTGTAGAATTTGTGTGATGGCTTTCAATTTTATGTCTCCTAAATTTTGAACAGCCCAGTGCTGAATTTTTTCAGTTATAGTTCGTTGTGGCGAATGATCAATTTCAATGGTCTGTTGCTCACCAATTGCACACTCAACGTCAACCGGATCAGTAGATTTGTTTAGATTATTTTTCTCACTGTCTTCGACCACAAAACATGCTACTGTAGATGAATTTACCCCTCGGATATCATTCAACGGTAGCTCTCCACTTGAATCTTCACGTACATTCTCACTGACTCCAAGTTCATTTTCGAGGTTATCCACGGTCCATTTATTTTCTGAATTTGCACACACTTCATCTTCGAAACTAGAAACTTGAGCATCGTCACTGTTATCACTACCTTCATGAAGCTCATTAACTTTCTTCATGAACCGGTGTTTTCGTACTCTATTACTCGATTTACAGAAATTACGAGTGCAGAATGCCATTGTTGACGCACTTATAGAGCATTCACATATACGATGAAAGCGACGTTAGTGATTATTTTCACAAAGCCCAATATATAATACAGTCGGCTTGAGTTATTACTTCCCTGGGTACCCCCACTCCACGTAGTTACCACTTGTAACCATGTCCCCCACTCTTAAAATCGAAGTTAAAACTTATGCTGACTTCAGTATATTCTCATATTAGCAGGTGATGTCTATTTAATTAATCAACTTGAAGTAAATTAGCTATTAACATAAGACAATTGATGATTTTTTAAATAAAAATAAAAAATAATCAATTCCACTCAATTTTCAATAATTTTCAGAATACCATTGGTATGCCCATTGGCTGAAGCCAGATCCACTCCAGAAAATTGCTAGCCTGGCAACAAGCTTGAACCAGGCTATGAACTAGCCTCACCACCGGACTTCGGGGTGACCTATTGAAATAGCGTTGGCCCTAGACTGGCATGACCATAGGCTGCAGCTAGACCCAAGCTAGGAAATGCCAGGCTTGGCAGTTTAGAGTCAACCAAGCTTGGCCCTATTGTCAATGCTTGGCATTTCCTACCAGGGAACTTCCTCCCACTCCCAAAAAGGGTACTCAATTCGTTATTCCTGAGGAGTTCAGGGTAACATTGAAAGGTGAACCTTTTTTGCTAGACGACTATAATGGGCAAAACCGTGTTCTGATTTTCACTACACGACAAAATCTGTGTAAATCACGAGAAAGCTCTACCTGGTACTCGGAAGGTACGTTTAGAACCATTCCCAAGCAATTCAAGCAATTGTACACTATTCACGATGAAGTCAATGGTCAGCCGTTGCCTCTTGTTTATATCTTGAATCCTAAACGATCTAAAAATACGTATATTAAAATATTACGGAAATTGCTTGAATAAAGCCACGACTAAAGCCAAGTAGAGTTATGACCGATTTCGAGGAAGCGTTTATTGGGGCGGTGAATAATGTTTTTCCTGATTGTGATGCTAGTTGTTGCTTGTTTCATCTGAAACAAGCTCTGCTGCGCAAGTTGTCGATTTACAATGTCAAACATCTATAAGGGCACAGTCAACTCTCGAGATTTTCGTTTGTTATTTTCACTGTCGTTCTTAAAAAAGATGTTCACTCGGCTTATGATCAATTATTCAAAGAGGACTTTTACGTGAATAATGATGAATGTCTGAAAGGTTATTTGGATTACTGTGAAAAAACTTGGATTGGGCTTTTGGGTAAAATTATGGAATCACTATTCATCGGTGATGAATGATTTAGCTCAAACGAATAATTCTGTCGAGGGGTGGCACCATGGCTTCAATTCCAAGGCTCAATCTTCTTACCTTTCTTTGTGGACGTTCATTAATTTGTTAAAAACTGAGCAAGGTATAACTGAAGCGACTATTGTACGGGCTGAGAGTGGAGGTTCTCCTTTCAAAAGGAGGAAGAGGTCTCGAGATTATGATGAATGTTTGAAGCGAATTGCCAATTCTTATGATCCAGGGGATATGGTGGGGTATTTGAAGAGGATTGCAAATATCGCATCATATTAATAATTCTATTGACGTTATTTATTTGCCGTAATTGAAGGTTAATATTAATATGTTCGCGATGTTGCAAATGTTGGGAGTGGAAGTGCTGGAAGTTGTTGGGTTTTATATATTATGAATGATTCATGTCAGTTCATTTGAAATTATTTGGCGTTGAGTTTCGCTGGTACGAGACATTATGTTGAGATTTTGTACTGCTATTGTTTGTGTGAATTGACGATTTCTCATTCATGTATTTCAATTATTATGGAGAATAGTCATTCGTGATTACATGTTTTCGTGTGATTTGGCAATTAAATGTCTTGTAGCGGATGATTTTTCTTAATTTCATCATCATTTTTTCTTTCTTGTTCCCTATTTTTAGTTCCGAAGTGATATTTTTGTTTTTTGAGGGAAATTTTGTCCGGGAAAATTTTTTTGAGGGTAATTTTGCCCGGGGAGATTTTTTTTGAGGGAAATTTTGTCCGGGAAAATTTCGTCCTGGAAATTTTGTCTGGAAAATTTTGTCCGAGGAAAAGGTGCCCTAGAACCGTCTTATGGTGATCGTTTCACCTCGAAAATACCACGTCGCCGTCTTGATCAACGATTCGCAGTTGTAAATCGTTGATTGTTCGTACAGTCACTGGTAAGTAAATAACTTCTGATGGAACTTCCACTATTTTATATCCAGGAGGTGCCGAGGGAAAGAATCCATGAATGGTATGAACTTTTTCTGAGTATTACACTCAACGCGTAAAGCGTTCCCTTTAAGAATGGCAACGGGTTGATCCGATTCGTGGATTTTATTAGCCTCCAAAACTCTCTGAGTATAACCAAGGAGTCGACCAATAGAATCCACAGGTCTTAAATCTAACTCCTTATTACATTGCACTTCACTACGTAAAGTATTATTGTTACACCTAATATTTATAGTAATTTCAGTGTTCTTCAAATGTTTCACAAGAAATTTGGAGATGTCATCGATTTCATAACTTCCTGTAAGTATGGCAATAGTAGTATCTCCTATGTGTTATTTATTACTAGACCTATCAATGTTTGGAATAGAGTTGAATGTCAAAAATTCTATATAAAACCTAAAACATAATTTTTATCTGGTGAAAGTTCGATGGGAGGGAAATATTGGACTTCCAATACTGACGATGTTCCCGAAATTGTCAATGTTAATGAATCACAAATGATTCCTATCATTCAAGTGATAGAATATCATTACTGTTCAGTCTTATATAAATGTCCAATAAGAAAGGCTAGACATAGATGTCCACAGTTATAGGTATTCCACTTTTGGAATCGCTTGTGATTATACTTTATGCTACCAACACCAAGGTAATTAAAGAGATCTATAGGCGGTTGTAGATTTCCGAAACTATCAAAATAGTTAACGTCATCCCCTATTTTTTTATATGCAACCCAATGAGTTCTAGGACCTTTCTTATCATCCAAATTGATGATCGCAGCTTCATTTTTGTGTGTTCCATTTTTCAGCAAATCATTACGCATAAATACACCGAGGATATTTGGAATTCTCATGAGTGTGGCCTATTTTATTAGATCTCCATTTGTTAGAGCCCTGCGTGGTAACTTCGCTAATAGTTTTTTGGTTTCAAGTACAGACCCACACTTTTTTATAAGGTTTCAAATGTAAGCCTTTGCCGAGCTCAATAGCTTCCATTGTTTTATTGTGCCTCTTATTTTTCGTTAACTGTTGATTAGCGTTTTTCGCACTATTCACAGCTCTGGCAATTCCAGCAGCCCCACCAGCTAAGGCTCCAGTAGCACTCAAACCAGCCAACAGTGGCACGAGAAAAAGTAAAATTCCACCGATTTTCTCTGGAACTGGAATGACTCGCGAAATATTGACTCGACGTCTTCCACCAATCTGTTTGACAGCTAATCTTGCACCATCAAGAGCCGTTTTGATTGCATCAGATGAATCGTTATGCAATTTGACTGAGATTTTAGAGCTTTGATGATGCTTCTAAGTGTTGCTGGTTTTTTAGTTTTACGTCTCACTCTCTCTTTATCTGTTACACCTCTACCAAATTTTTTTATGGCCATGCCTGATTATTTCACCGCAGCGCCTGATTCTCTAGCCGGTGAACTTGATTTCTTCATGCGATAACTTGATTGTATCACACCCATAGCTCATTTTGTTTTAGCCTTCATTACGTTTGTTATGAATAAAGCTGCAGCTTATTCTCCAACAGAAGCGTCTCGTGCAAAAACGCGATTCCAAACTCGCTGCGCAAGTTCTTGGCCAGCCTCGTGTCATGCAGAAATATTTTCCCTATTTTTTAAGTAGGCGATGTCATGCGTCTTACAGGCTGAATCAAGCTGGTTTATGCCAGGATCTCCCCGAGCTAATCTCTTCACCAGCTTTGTGCCTGGTCCACAGTATTTCTAGCCAGGTAAGTGCAATTCAACAGGGAGATTATTGATAAATTTATTTAATAATTCTTCACCGTTTCTTATACGTGATCTGTGCACAATCATCGGTCAAGTGCAACTGAGTGATTTCACTATAAAACCTTTAATTTATATAGTTATGCAGATCAGTCACTAGAAAGATGGAGTTCAATTCACATGACAGCGGCTTGCCCGTCATTAATTTTGATGTAATTAGGGCGAAAGATACCTTTAAATCTAATCGCCATGGAATACTGCTGCCAAACACTATCCGCGCAGTTTTTTGTGGACCATCGAATTGTGGAAAAACTAATGCTCTTTTGAGCCTTATAATTCACCCCAACGGCTTAAGATTTTCCAATATTTATGTATATTCAAAGTCCCTTAACCAACCTAAATATCAATTTTTGGAAAATTTACTGAAACCGCTTGACAAACTCAACTTTTATCCCTTCACTGACAACCAAAAGGTAGTATCTGTGGATGACGCAAAGGAAAACTCAGTATTCATATTCGACGATGTTGCATGTGAAAAGCGAAATAATATCAAAGCATATTTTTGTATGGAGAGACATAAAAATGTAGACAGTTTTTATTTGTGTCAATCGTGTGCACGAATTCCGAACCATTTAGTGCGTGATAATGTCAATTTTTGGGTATTATTCAAGCAGGATGAAATGAATTTGAAACAAATTTACCATGATCATGTGAATACAGACATGTCATTCGACAAGTTTAAAGACTTATGCTCAGCATGTTGGAGAGACAATTATACATTTTTGGTGATCGATAAGGACAGTGACATTGATTCAGGTCGGTATGGGAGAAATTTCGATTGCTTCATTCAGATAAATAATAGTCATTACTAAATATTATGACTAGTTGTGGGCTACATTTCAACGAGTCAACATGCCTCTACACGAGAATGATAGAGTAACAAAACAAAATATTTTACGAAAATTTTCTGATGCGCGGAAAGCAATTTAACGAAAACATCAACAGTTGAAATTGGGTAGAGAGAATATTGATGAGGTGATGAATGAAGTCTTC